AGGGCCCCCACCAAAAAAAAAAAAAAAAAAAAAAAAAAAAAAAAAAATATATATATATATATATATATATATGTATGTATATGATTCTGCAATACTGGCTTCCCCAACCTTTTAAAACTGGGCGAGTACTAGGAAATCAAAATCTCAAATACAGCAGGGTGGTATAAAGTCAAATTAAATATGTAAAACAAACTGCATGAATTCTGAAAAGTGTAAATTACATTCTAATTATGCCTCTAACTTTAATAACCCAGTATAAGAGTAACAAAATATGGGGTTTATTAGCAAATGAGGACAAAGAGAAGTGTCTGAATTCATTAAATAATAATGAGTTTCATTTCTAGTCCACAGGTTGGAAATTATATCCACACAATGAAGAGGCAGGACAACAGAATTTTCTCCTGCCCTCCAGGTCAGAGCTCCACAAAGAGATGTGGGCAAGGGTAAGCAAGGAAAAGTACCAGTCTCCATCTCTCCTGACCGCATGGCTTCCTCCAAAAATTTAGCTTACAGTTATAGTAGAATTTGCTATAACCCTATATGAATTCAAAATGGGAAATGATACTTTTTGCTTTTAAAGATTTTTTTTTTGATTTGGACCATTTTTAAAGTCTTTATTGAATATGTTACAATATTGCTTCTGTTTTATGTTTTGGTTTCTTGGCCGCGAGGCATGTGGGATCTTAGTTCCCCCACCAGGGATTGAACCTGCACCCCCTGTACTGGAAGGCAATGTCTTAACCACTGGACTGCCAGGGAAGTCCCGAAATGATACTTTTTTTTAAATGTGACTTATCTCACATGATTAATACAGGAAATCACTCTTATGACCTACAAAAGTAGCTATCACCAAACATGAATAATATGAATCTTCATTATACAAATTGATTTGGATTTTAGGAACCATAAAAGCTCTTTGGTGGCTGAATAGGACTAAGATAGGAAAGGGACAAAATCTTAAAGAGCATCAGTAAAATATAAGATGTGATGCACCAGGTTTCAATGAAAGGAATTAATGGTAGAGCGCTGCTCACTTTGTCCATAAAATATCTTCCTTTATCCTAATGCATTTCTAAGGGCAGCCAAATAGGATACTATGTGAAATTTAATTTCTTTACCCTGAACCGAGTCTTAGCCAGGAACAACTAAAGGGAATAAAAATAGACGAAGGATTATTAGAGCTCTAGACACAATTTAAGATGGGGGACAACTTTCTTAGTTGCTTGTAATTCTGCATAATTACTAGATGAAATTCAAAGTAGCAACATGATGCTTCTCAACATGATAGAAGGTTATAAAGTCAACGAGAGAGTAGAAATTCACACTTGCAGATTAGTGTATTAGCTGAAGCTAGGAAAGAAGCAAGGCTTATTAAAAGATGGGCTTAGGAGTCAATGTACACGTCTTTTCATCTATTAGTTACAATCGTCCTTTAATTAGTGATAAGCTGAATAAAGAGTAGGTAAATTTTAAGTACACTCTAAAACTGTACTAAAGCATAAATATTTATTGCACTTAAAAACAATAACAATAGAAAATGTATACAGAGAAAACATTATCTGAAAGCATATCTGCATTAACCCAGCAGACATAATTAGTAAGAACAGTGACAAATGGCAGATTTTAGGCAACAGTGTTAAAAATAATACTCACTGATTCTTCATCTTGAATCATCTGTACTAAGTTGTCCAACACAGGTGTCAGATTTCTAAAGAGATTTTAAAGATGTGGACAGTGGAATCAAATCAAAAGCTTTCAGGAGGCTGGTTATTTTCATCATTGTCATATAAAAAAGTGCAAAACTCTTACTTGGATTTCATATTATTAAAATTTTTGCCTAACGCCAGGTGTTGTATGGATCTGTTTTTACTGAGCCACACTATTAAGGTAGATAGGTCAGATTCTAAACCTGGAAAGAATCAGAGTAAATGGAGAATCAACACACATGTGGATAAATAAATTCTCAGGTGCAGCACAATTAAACAAAGGTGCAAGGCAGTGGATGACTTTCTGTACTGTCCTGAGAGTCCTGAGATGCTAATCCTTTTTCCCCCAACCCCCCACCAAAGGAACTCTTTGTCCTCTTATTTCACAGGGATAAACTCATTCTCCACAAAGACTTATCTAAATCTCTTACGCAATCAGTGGCTAAATAAAGTCAACAAGGAATGGGGAGGCATGACAGCAGAAAATTTCATCTCTCCCCATCCCTTTGTGAAAGAAGATTCTGACATACTGTTCACTGGGAGGTAACTGCAGTTAAAGCTGTCTGTGCAAATTCATACTGCATTCTTGTCATGCAAGTTCATACGCACATGTTAATGTAACCAGTAGAAATAAAGCTAATGAAACGAGTTTCTGAATAAATAAACAAGACCTCAATTTTATTACCACTAAGCATATAAAAGGTTGGACTCAGATCTTTATCAATGTATTGATGACAACTTTTTTTTTGTTTGGTCTGAATTGTTTTATTGCATAGACTTTTCATTTTCGGCCATGGAAAAATCTTAGTAAGACTTTGGCACAGAATTATTCCATAAATAAACTCTGTTAAATTAAAAGGTCCTCTAGTCAAGAAGTGAAATAACAATTTTATTAAGGTGTCATCTAGATTGGGCTAGAAGATTATTTTCCCTTTACCAACTTGCTTCAAATAACATTTCTATGTCTTTTCTTCTCTGATTTCTGACTTACCATTATCAGAGATGTCTAGGCTGGTGATGTTGTGGATTTCGGCGATGCAGCCTTCTAATACCTGCGCACCTCCAGACCTCAGCTAGAGAAACACAAACCAAACAGGTAAAGTGGTCACTGGAGGGGTAAAGCCAAAAAAATGAAAAATAGGAGATACAGTCTCAAACTTAGCACCAAAGAAAAAGTGAAAACTTATCAACTCCAAAAAAGCTATCATCAATGTAAAAAGCTAATCACTAGTCATTATATGGTTTCCCATCTCACATAAGTCTGAAAATCATTAGAAAAAGAATCAGAAGACAGAGGCCACTCCACATCACCATTGCCAAGATGGTCTCTGTCAACACATAAGAATTTTCTTCATTTCTGACTTTTGGAAAGCTAACAAATCCCTTTTATACATTAGAAACTGCTACTATTTTATTTGATTATTACAGATTTCAAGGTATAACTCTCCACCATGTAGCAGCAAAACAACCAAAGGAGACAGTAAAGACCTATAAAACCCTTTTCATCTTTTCCCATAAAACCAAAAGCATATTTTACAGAGGTCAGAGTATTTTTGTTTTCCGTTCAGCACCTATCTGAGTTCCTACTATGTGTAAAACACTGTGCAGGATGCAGTTTCCCAAGCTGTGGCCCTTTGTTCAGTAAACTTACGATCTAATAAGGGAAAAGAAATTCATTTATTGGGAACCTACTATGTGCCAAGGAACATGGTAGTTTCTCTATTCACTTAAGAAAATTTAAATTCACGTAAAAATTCTATACCAAATTGATAATACTTTCTACTTGTTCAAGTTTTTTTTTTTTTTTTTTTTTTCG